AAAATCTTATCATTTATTATTTAGTTTGTCTATGTCTAGATTAGTTTAGTAATTTAAATCTTATCATTCGTTTTAATTTAATATCTACACTAGTATAATTATGTAAATGAATAATACACTACAATCTAATATTTTAATTTAATTTAGTCAATTATTACACTGATTTGGAGCTATGGAAATTAGCGTCAGTGACCTTAAAGTGTTCGGTCACCGGGCGCATTCGAGTGTAATGTAACATTACAGATCGCGTAATATAACGTTACGCATTATATCAGTGAAGGAGGAGAACCGAGTAAATGCTTGGTTCGGCATTGTAATCAATGCGCACCTTGTAATAATACAAAACGGGCATACATCAGTGAAGGAGAAGAACCGAGCATTACAATGCGCACCTTGTATTGATACAATGTGTAATATCTTGATACAACTTGTAACATCAATGCGGGGTCTGGGGGAAGTGGAGCACTTCCCCCAGCCCCCCGCCCGTAAGCTCAATATCCTACGTGACAGTGAAGTCAACGCACATTGAACATACATTTTTCACACAAATTATTAAATTACATTACACGCAAATGCTCGTTGTTACATTAAACGCTTTTGCGTGTACCTCCTTGACTAACGAGTAAGGAGGTATTATTGTAATGTAATGCTCAAAGTCGAATCTATAATGTTACATTACACGTGAATGCTCCCGGTGAGGGAGCACCTTTACAGTATTTAAACTGTCAAACACCAAGCGGTCACCGGTGACCGCAACCTATTGTTCTATAATTGTGTCTACAAAACCGGTACTCGACGAGTTAACCAAGTGTCAGAGGCAGGTTTACTTTCATTCATTTGTTTCTGCGGCCTATCGCTGTCAACAGACTGTACCTTCTCAAAACAAACATGTTGACTGTATTTGTTAACATGCTGGCTTCAACCCAGATCCACAATAACGACGCGACAAGGGACTTCAAAAAAAGTTGTCGACACCTAGTCGAAGCTTTTCGTTGTTTCCCTGCAGGTTTCATGATTCTCCTTTTATCGTGTCGAGTCCCATTTGAAGTATTGGTCTGGCAAATAAATGTAGTGTCTTTTTTAAAAAAAATTATAACAACCACACTTGTATATATATAATAAATATCGTGAGACTTACTATATTAAATAAAAATATCGGTAAACTCACGTAAATATCTATTGAGAAAAGTTCGTAGGCCTCATTTTGACGGCGGCGTCCGCGCACGCTGCTCATGAGGAAGAGTCTCTCTGTCTCTTGAAACTAGTAACGTAGAGTTTTCTCAGTAACAACGTGAGTAAATCGACATTTCTAGTTAAACATACTTCTCATAAGTTATTTATACATATAGCAGTATAGTTAGATGACAATACTACTGCCGCTGCCTGCACACCTTCTTTATATATATATTCTGTGTGCAGCACAATATGGAGCTATTTTTATCCAAAATTCGAAACGTTTTCGGCAGTACACGATAGAATATTGGCAATTTTGTAATCGACCGAGATTCGGCTATTCCTATTTATAGGATGGAAATACGAAACAGAAATTCAGCTCCGGTATATAGGGCGTCTTGAATAGATTAGGAATAGGAAGTGGCCCACAGAGGCAAACAGCTAAAAGGCAGTGGTTTAATGGATTAAGGTCTATGTGACAGTCGTGTTAGACGACCTATTCTAAATGCAGAATGTAGATTTCTAAGGCGTTGGTTCAGCTGAACATTGAAATGGCTATTAATAATAACTGCTGTATTGCTTTTCTGGACTGTTACTTTTTGAACAAAATGTTTAAAGATAGAATTTCATTGTTTTAATGATTTTCGAAATTGGAAACACCTTAACTTGATAATACATACCTATACTAAGTCACAGGCTACGCTAGCGCGACGCGTACGTGAAAAACATAGAGTGAATTTACCTATTACCAAGTATGGGACCGAATTCTGAATGCGATACAACCATTATATTACACCTGTACTTTGTCCGATGGTATATTCTACATTAAACTAGGTATACACAGGCTACTAATGTCTGAATGCTATTGTAGTAGGCTTTCGATCATACGTAAATGTTGCAATATTTATGAACCAATTTCCAAAATAAGGAACGTAATTTACGGCTGATTATTTGCATAATTTTGGAAATAGGTTATTTTTTGTACAATCGGAACTTCAGCTTTTAACTAAATTGTCCATAACACTTCATTAGTCTTGTAAATTACACACGCGATTCCAGTTTATATTAACAGGTTATATTAACTCGCCTAACATTTTAGGAACACCAAAAATGCATGCGAGCGCTATACTTCGCCACGAATAGGCTTGCTAGACCAAAATAATTAGCGTAGACTACCCTTCCGTTGAATGTGTGTGAGGATACCAGATGCCCAATCCCCTACCTCCAAAACTTCGACTGGTGTTGCACTGTCCGTGAGCAGCCCTGATTGCTTACCATGAGATGATCAATGCACTCGTTTGTACCACTACCTCATAGAAAAAACTTAAAAATAGGTTAAAGCCTATTAAAGTCATACCTCTCGCTAGGTTCCACCTTCCCTTCTTTATTGTACCAGACGACGCTGCGCGGCCAGGGCGGCACCACGATGTGACAGCCAAGGGTCAGAGGCTCACATATCCTCACGAACTGGTCTTCCAGCTCCTTCGTGAAGATCGGAGGCGGCTCTGGAGCTAAGCTGCTAGATGGAAAATAATACTTTTTACTACAATAAAGTGATAATACATTCATTGTGTTCTTGATGGTATAGGACCAGGTTCACCAAGTGCGATAACTGGTGGACAGTGAGTGTTAGACAGTACAGTTGACTATTGAAACTTATAAGTTCACGCACACATAACATCTGGAGCCGGAGCAACATTCTGTGGATTACACAAAGAGTTGTTCCGTGCGGGAATCGAACCCGCGACACGTTGCGCGGCAGTTGGCCAGGCACTGCGCCAACCGTGCAATCTTTTCATGACTTCCATACATACAAGTGGGTACCTTATTAAAGTGTAAAAAAAAATTATGACCTTAATGATATCACTGAGATACCAGACATCTCAAAAATTGCCTGACTGAATCTAAAATATTACTCGACACTCGAACAACGAGACAGACTGAAAACAATGCCATGTCATCCAATAAAACATCGTCAAAAATATTAAAAATGTAACGTAGCATTATCTTAGCATGTCTAGCATCGAAGTCTGTACCTAATACTCCTTCAGTCCTCTGTCAGCTTATTTCCAGCCATTCTGATAGCTAGTCTTGGTACTCAGATATTTACGTTCTAATAGATAATACTGGGAAGCTTGTTTCGTGCGCCCTTGAAATTCAACGCTTTGCTCGTTAGTTTTGCTTTCAATAACGATCTGCGACTTATTTATAGATAATCTTATATTTAAATTATACATTCTCCAGTGAAACGTCTTTTGTCATTTGTTTTGTAAAACAAATAATAATCTGAGTAAGTAAAAGATGTTTTGTAGAATAGGTATTCTTATTTTGTAGGCTTAAGTAAATAGTAAAAATATCATTATTTAAGTGTTATAAATATATTTGTTATGTAAAAGCACGATGGGATTGACATCGTCACATAATGTGTACAAAATCCCTTAATATAAATGCGATTTAAAAAAAATCAATAAATCGAGGGGTGGCGGACTATTTGGTTTATCCCCTTATCTTCTTGTATATGAGACATAATAGAAAACACATTGTGTCTCGCGTATATGTACGTCCTCGGCATACCAGAGGTTAAGCGACATTTTGGGCGATATTGAGTTATATATATATATTCGGAATCAGCAAATTTTTCTCCGTCAAATACATATAAATAACTCACTATCACCCAAAATGTCGCTTTAACCAAATAGTCCGTTATCCCTCGATATTATTATTGAGGGATAACGGACTATTTGGTTTAAGCGACATTTTGGGCGATTTTGAGTTATATTATATATTCGGAATCAGCGAATCTTTCTCCGTCGAATATATGTAATAACTCAAAATCGCCCAAAATGTCGCTTAAACCAAATAGTCCGTTACCCCTCGATATAATCGTTTTGTAAATTTTTTTTTCATGTTTATTTTATTTCGAGATGAACTGTGTAGTGTTGTTTGTTACAATAATATAACGGGCCTGTTAATAATCCCTGAAGGTGTCAGAGGTTCACACATAATGTGCAATGCGCAGAATTCACCAGTTATGTTAGTCTAAGAGTTACTGAACCCTCCGAATAAAAGTCGTATTTTCAGGACGACAGTTTATAATACGCTAAGGACTTACAGGACGAACGCTTTAATTGGAGAGTTCAGTGGCTCTTTGACTAATTATGAGTCCTATTTCATGAGCCGATTGAATTTCAGACTCAGTGCTACACATAGCAAAATTTTCGAAAACCTCCAATAATACTTTTCTAGAAACCGAGACTCCTTTTGTTCGGTATTCGCGCGTGAGACTATCTTGCCAAAGGTTCCAAACGCTGTGATATTACTACTTATATTATACTTATTTATATTTTGACATTATTTAGCCAATTATATAATACCTGTAGGTATATACTATGTTACAGCAAAAGTGACTAATTTGATATTAGGTACTTATAACGACTGGTCATTATACATAATATCTACAAATTACGTCAAAGTGATGAATGAAGAAGAATTAATCACATTGACCAGCTGTTATAAATAATATCTCTGAATACATAGATAAAGTAACAAAACAAGCAGGAGTAAATCAGCTGTTTTGCGATACGACACGGGGGCTGAACGGATTCTCAACGTGAGACGTTCTACATTAAGTCGTCATGGGTGGTCGTATTCATTCTTTCGAGGGTGGTGAAACCGATGGTGCTGTCAAAATGGAAATCCAAGATGGCCGGTGCCCGAAATTTTCAATTTATCGTCATGGGCATCGTTTTCGTGGTTTTCTGGGGTAGTGTAACTGATGGTGCTATCAAAATATAAATCTGAGATGGTCACTGCCCGAAACTTTTAATTAATAAATTATACATTTTTATATATATTACATATATGAATGTAAGCAAAATATAATTAATATGGGTATATATATAACGGCACGTGGGTACCAGTATCAGAATCGCTCATCTTAAAGTGGGTAATCGCGCAAGGTATTTTTATTGAAATAATTAGACAGGTCTTCGATCAGCAGCCTTATAATAACAATTCACAATGTAAATCACAATAATCGCTTAATTTAACGCAGATGGAAATGGATTTACACTTGGGTCGAAAGCAATCCGTCGTAACCGTCTAATCCACGCTATCGTTGCAATCAAAGTCAACGACCCCGGTGGTTGTTGGACGTTTATGACGTTCCGCCAGAGTGACAACACAATTGTCACTCTCGTCCAATCAGTGTGATTTGTTAAATTACATAATAGATGTCAAAATGGGTTTTCAGTCTTTACTACTAGATGGCGCCAGGGACGCGCCTTCATATATAATTAACAGAAAATAATACATTGAAATAATAAATAGAAACAGTATGTACTGTAAAGCCTACTACGCAGTTCCACACCGGCACTCGTTCACGATACTGCGGCAACGCCGCTTTGACATTTAGTGGTGTTGACACGTCTGAGCGAATGCGGAGATTGGTACTGCGCCATACGTGTTAAATACTGCTACTCACACGCGACTCGTAACGGTCAATGCGAGTGTGGGCATGGGCGGAAGTGCCTTATCGTGTATCGAATTAAAAACACCCGAAAAAATCTCGATACACCGTCACACCAAATAAATGAAAAGAATAATACAATTTGCAAGGGTACCCAGTGTCCAGAACATTACACCTTCAATTGAATTAAAAGAGCCCGAAGCACCGGGATCGGGATCGGGATTTAAGAGTCCATTTTAAAATTTAATATAGGTACGTAGGTATACGTTAAAGTTTTTCCTATGAAACGAAATACAGATCATCCTCGCCGGTTTAAATCTAACTAATGTATTTGAGCTACCCACTAATTCTATTTTGTGACAGGTATTTGGCCGAGTCAAATTGTATTAGCTTCAAATTCAGTGGGAATCAGGTTTGCCTGATGCAAATCGAAGCCTGTGGCGGGGCTCGGCTCTGAAGGTTTTAAAACGTCATTACATTGTATCGAGTCAATAATCGATAAAGTATTTGCAGTTAAATGTGACGTCGTGTTGAATTGGACAAAGCAGTGGTTTGTAGTTGATGATTCGCTATAAAAATATTGTATGATATCGCAGTATACCTCTATGATAGGGATGGTTATTAGATACAACCGAGCAACACATAGTTGAACGAAAAATGCATCAAAAATACTTGACAACAAATTTATTATAATAGAATCTTCTGTGTGTTGCTGTTCAAAATATCTTACATAGATCTGTCTTTGATTCCTTCCAAATTATAAACCTAAACTCTAGAGGTAGTACCTACAGAATATACAACGTCTCAGGCCAACTTAAAGATGTTTCAATACATTACCTGGAGCTAGGTCTAAGAGATCCCTCCCTGCTGCCACGCCCGACGACATGGACCTTGGATGAGGAGTAGGCCCTGCCCATGCAGTTGACGGCCTCACAGGTGTACGTGCCGAGCGACGTAGGGTCCTCAGCATTCGCCGTGAGGGCAAATACATCTCCTGCCTTTATTTCGCGACTGTCCTGTAAAATGTTAAAACCCATTTTAGAATTTTTATGTGACTACCATCTCCGGAGGCCCTATCCTCCCGTCCCAGAAGCCGATAACAACGTTGTAATTTCTCGGGTGTTACAGGTGTCTATGGGGGATTTTAATAGCTTAGCTTCTGTTGAGCTTATCTTCAACAATCTGCTCGTTTGTATGAGCAAGTGAAACATCGTGAATTTGCGAAGAATGTTTTGACTATGTACTGTAAGAAATTGAAACTTATATAATCTAAAATATTGTAAACTCAGTCACCTAGGTGCCACTAACTTACACACAGCCACTCACATATATGAGTACTTTTGTATCTTACCATTACATGGTACGAATTGTGTGCATCTAGAATAAAGTGCGTTACTTACTCATAAATATAATGACGTCACAAAAATAAATGTCAAGTTATCTATTACTAAGAGCTACCGTCCACGTTGCTTCTTTTAACAGCCGGTTTTCATGTAGCCGGTTCATACACAGTTTTCATCTAATCTAAAACCTTTAAACGGGCAGTTCTATCAACTATGTCGGAAACAGCTTTATTAATGTTTTCAAAATATTGTATTTAGGAGGTTTCAGGGGTGTTAAATCGATCTAACTATTAGGTTTCATTTACAGAAAATGTAGTTTAATCTATATTTTTATTGAATGAAAATCCTTACAAGAATACGAAGCAGAATTTGGAGAGGCCTATGTCCTGTCCAGCAGTGGACGAATACGGGCTGATGATGATGAAGCAAAATTTCGCTCTACGTCTAAAGTTGTATAACTTTGAGAGGACACTCTACGGACACTATCGACGCAGTACAATCGAGTTTAATCCTCGGTCCGAATGTTTCTTTTACTTGTTCTTTTTCCTATTTTATGTTTTTTGTTTTATTTTAATAATTTTTCTATCAGTATGTAATTTTTTTTTAAATATGTCGCTACATAAAACAAAACACCGGATGAAGCTCGGTCATCCGGGTTCTTATTTTTAAGCAAGTTGCAAGCATTTGTCATTTGTAGGCCGCCCATTGCCTTTGATGGATGCATTCGTCAAATGTAGCGACGTGGAAAGTAAGCCTTCCACTTTCTAACACAATATTAATTTCATATCGTAAAAAATACCTTAGTCGTAAAATTTTAGAATTCTGAATAATTTAATGGCCTCTTTCCGACAAGTTTGCAGCCTTTGGCGAATACACGTACAATTCTGAATAATTACAGACAGTGGCGGTAGTACTCTTGAGGATTACTAACTATAGTTTCCAAGGAATGACAGGTGCTGCACATCCAAAACTACGCCTCAGTAAACTAAGTTTACTTTGTTAAAAAATATACATCTAGGTCTTTTAACGTAATCGATCAATGGTCAATGTCAGGATGCCAATCTCGGTAATCAAGCCATCAGACCATTAGGGCTGAAGCCGATACGGAGCGGTGAAGGACTTAACGAGTTGCTGGGGCTCCGGCTCGAAGAGCAGGAGTAGGAACGAGGTGGGTTTTAGTCAGAGTCTGACACTGCCTCTCGTGTCACCCGGGCGGGTGAAGACATTGGATGATTTAGTTCCTCAAAACAAAAGTCTGTACTCAAAACCAGAAATTGCTCAACGGTTGTGCTCGCAACCACTCAATGGACTCCAATAACTCTCTGTTATTGTACTTAAAAGCAAAATGCAGTTACCGTTTCAAGATTCAGTGTAAAATACTCTTTTATTTAATTCTTAATATTTTGTTTTACCTTGAACCACCTCAGCACGGGAGTGGGTACTCCCACCACCTTGCACTCGAGTGACACAGTCCCCTGCTCCGTGAGGAGTGCTCGCAGCTCCTCGACGAATTCAGGCCGCTTGTACGCCTTCGGTACTGAGGAGGAAACAAATATTTAAATCAAATCAAATTGTTTTCTTTGTAAACATAGGTGAAATTTAATAATTTCTGCACTGCACTCACTAATTTTAGTGGCATGTAATATGTTTTGACCAGAGGCGTGTACAAATGTATTTTTGAGTATAACATGGGCCAAGCATGTGAAATTACATAATCATAAATGTCAAAATTAATAATGTAGGTATATAAAATGAAAATTAGTCAATATAATAAGTCATTCAGAAAGTATAAAGAGGTATAATTGTCAGAGGTAGTAATTATAGAATTGTCGCCTGAACATTCTTTTATGGAATAGTAGCACTTATATGTCAGAATTCTTGATGTTTTTTTGAAATCATACAAACTTAGCGTTTTTATCTGTTCCTGTGGTTATATGTTATATATTTGTTTGGCTAAGCAGAAGGTACTTTATTAAACAATGCTGTTTTGCGATACGTCACTTCAAGTTCAGACTTATGTTTATCCCGTAGTTTTCTGTAATAGCTTTTAGTCGTTTTTTTGTAAGATGCGATGTTGGATTTGACAAATATGTTTGTTTCCTACCTATCCACATATATAACGATGGCACTGTAACAATTTTTAGACGTATAAAAGGGTTGACAGCTGTCAGTATTCTTTAGGTCGCTCATAGCTCTTATGCATTTTTTGGGCTCTAAATATGTCTTCTCTGTCTACTGAATTACCCCAGTACATCATATCTATCTGAGAGATGATACAATATAACTATGATAGGCTTTTAGCACGGATTCTAAGCTAACTAGTTATGTTTGATAGTTTATAGAACATAAGCAAACTTGTGAAGCCTTTAGAATTTCTAATGTTATGGTTAATGAAAAATTGATAGTGATGAAAGTTACAATTTAAGTTTTTACATTACAATGAACCCCTATTTTATTATATTTAAGTACCCAACGACATAGTCAGCCACATAGCCAGAATAATTGTCATACATCATTTCAGTACTCGATAGAAGTCCATATATCATTATAGAGGTAACTCTTTGGAGTGGATAATTTATCCAGTTCAAAGAGTATGAATTTGGCTATACAACTGTCACCATCACCATAATTTATCACCATAAAACTAATAAAATGACATTACGTTCAGTTCAAATTTTCAAAAGTTTAACAATAAATCTAACATTATACTGTAAAGATCCCAATTACTGACCAAGCACATTAAGGTGCGCGGAGCAGCTGGCCCTGCCACCGGCGTTTTCAGCAGTACAGGTCCAGCGGCCAGCATCGTCGACGCTGACAGCCGCTACATCGGCACACCAGAAGTTGCCATCGCGGGCCAGAGCCACCCGCTCTGCTTCCAACAAGCGTCGCTCGTTGCGGAACCATGTCACCTGCACAAAATAAAATAAAACTAATAAAACATGCCAATTAGTGGTTGAAAAATACCATGTGTAACCATACTAATTAAGTCATCGACCTCTGTCTGGACTTTCACAAAGACATGAGGTTCTGACAGGACGTTTCTCTGACAGCCTTAAACTGATTATAGCTAATAAGCAAAACCGCAGAGTTAGTACTATAAACATAGCCATGCTCATATTTGTATCTATGTACATGTACAATGTACATGTCATAATACACAATACATATGTATTAATTATTTGTCCAAGTGATCAGTGTCCGTATTAATCAAACCTTAGACAAAGGAAACTAATAAGGTTGCAATTATATTGAAACAGATAGAAACTATAACCATTTAACTGCGTCCATGTTTATGATATGCGTATAATTATAGGTACTTAATGGGTAAATCTATTACTTACTAATAATAATATGTTTACGATAAATTACTGCAAGAATATTAAATTCAATAAAAAAATTTATAAATAGAAGTAAGAAATTCTAACATTGCCGTTTTGTACGAAAAAAATAAAATAATTATTTTATCAAGTATTTTCTATTTTTATTAATCAAGTAATAATCAAGTAGTAATATAATTATTAATCAAGTAGTAATCAGTGCAAAACACGTTGCGACGCGTTCAAAGCGCTGGCGTTCATTGAGTTCGTGGGTCACCCATCATTTGCCGAGCTTTTTTACCTAGCCAAATTTGACGCAAATGGACCAATATTGTTTTGCTAACGCCGAAAGTTGCTGCTAATTCAGCCGTAGATTGTGTATCTACCTTCCAAAATCGCCTTTAAATTGTCATTAAGAAAATATAATGTATGTAAGAAAAAATAGGCAATTGTTCGAAAAAAGAAGCGATAGACACAATCTTAATACTAGAGGCAAGAATAAGTTAGCTGTACTGCAATTCAGACTGTCCAAGGTACAGAAATCCTTTATGGGGTTATGCGTTAAATGTTATAAAAAAATACTAGCATACTAGATCTTAATGAAAGCAAATTTAAAACATGTATCAAGCGTGAATTGTGTAAACAAGCTTACTACAGAGTGATTGATTATCTTGAGGATAGGAATGCTTGGCAGCGTGTTGGTTCGGTTCCACTTGACAATACTCAAATGTAGTCAGTACCTACCTAGTTCTCAGATTACGATAATAGGTAATTTAATACTTTGATTCCAATGATGGCAATCTATTTTTCTTGTGACATCGAGCATTTATTTCTTTATTTAAACAAGAGTTTATAATATTGGAATATTTATCAGAGCAGTGTAAAACAGACTTCTTTTTTAAAAGAGTAACGAATGGAGTTTCATGTTCGTTCTTCTCCACTCGAATCGACATTTTGGAACGTGCGCGCAGCTTCACTGACGGACAGACTGACAGACTGTTATTTATTTCATATTTATTGACGTTTTAAAGTACCAAATTATGGTTTAAATGAAATAAATGCTTTTGTGTTTGAGTTTTGATTATTGATTTCGGAATTCTTATGCCGGAATACTGAAACGTTACTCAATTTTAAGTCGTGCTCAAATATCGTGCCATCTCTGTCATTTTACAAAGAATTTGTAGAGATAGAACTATACTTAAGCACGACTTAAAATTGAGTAGCGTTTCAGTATTCCGACATTAGCCAAACATAAATTATTTTGATGTGGAATGGCCAGTTTTACACCGTGGTTTATTAAAGGGTGTGCATCAAGGATGTGACTTATCGAAATTTTCGAAAATGTGGTATAACTTTTGAATCGTACACTTTCACTGAACATACATTGAGTAGTTTATAGTCAGAATTTTAATTAGATTCCAGATTTGACATTAGCTACTGTCATTTTGTGAAATAATGATACCAAATATAATAGTGTAGTGATGAACACAAAACTCGATAAACAATCAGTGTATGAGTTTTATAATAAATGTTACAGAAAGTGACAGCGATAGCGATAGCGATGACGGCGACAATTTATAAAATAACTTATTACCATAATACATCTATCTGTTTTATTTATCATGTTCCTTCATGATTACATTTTTTTATTTATTTCACATACAATTATAAAAAATAGTCTCAGATCGTTAATTAATCGTCAAGACTAAATTATCGGTTCAGAAATATTTAATTTCCTGATAAACTTAGTTTACGAGAGTAAAATTATAAACGAGAAGAATCGATCCAAAAATATTCCATTTCAATATGGAATAATTTCGCAACGTCACTATTTAGTACTTGTCATAACGTTGCAACACTGAAATTGTCAAATCTGGAATCGAATTAAAATCCCGAGTATAGGTAGGTATTGATCCCAGCTATCACCCCTTACAGTGTGGTGCACTATTTATTGGATAGCCTGTACGTTTGTCGGTAAAATACATTATTATTTGTACCTATCTAACCGAAATAAATATTTACAGTAAGGCAGGTAATTATGTAAATATTTTATTTCATATAATCAAAACTGTTATTTTAACAAAACATTTATCGAATTATGATAAAATCGAATTGAACTTGAAATAAATATAAATGAAATTGAAATAAATATCGAATTGAACGTAATTATGAAAATGAAATGACCAACATTCAAATTAAATAATTATTTCAGTAACAAACTGTAACGATTCCGATGAAAGTAACAATATTGGATTTCACTGAGCATTTCAGAGTAACCCTATATGGAAATAAAATTACTTAAATTGATCTCGATGGCCGTATCAGTAAACTATTAACTCCTTATTTACACTGACATTTTTCTTTGTATTTCATTTCTTATTTGCTTTCCTCTTGTCAACTCCAAAAATAATGTATTTTATCAAAATAATTGTAACGCTTGTATATTTAAATTTACATATATGAACAGAAACTGTAAAACTAAATAACAAACTCAGAGGCCTGGCGACCCATAACACAGGCGCCGCTTAGTACGGGCTCCTGTCGCCAATTAATTGTTGAATTACATAAACATTTATTGTTACTTATCTAGCATATTTTTGTAAAAATGGGAGAAAATAAATAAATAAATAATTATTTACATATATTTATTTAAAATTCTCTACAAATTACCAAATCCGCTTTAACTTCCGTAAGCCAGGATCTAAAGTAGATACAACCATGAAAACATCGGAACACTGAAGTCCAGCGCGTTTCAGGGACATGAATAACTGTTTTGGGTTCCCGCAACGAAGTGAATCAGAAGATATTATAAGAGGAGAAGAAAAAAACGATAGTTTTCACTTCCCTCGGTGAATTACTGCAGGAGACAGAGTGAATTAAGCCTAAAGGCTCAAAGAAAACAGACTGTACAACTGGGTGAAGCCCAGTCGCCAAGCACCACGGAAATTTGACTAAAATCTAAGTAGGTCCTATGTGTGAGCTGATATACTTGCTTCCAGTAATAGGTATGGCAAAAGCGCCTAAACGCACGGAAATTTATTTTAGATTCCACAAGGTTCGTATAATAAGCTGCACCTGACGAAACAGTTAAATAATTTGACATAGTGTTACGTTCATACTGCCAGAGATCACACTTCCAGAATAAGTGATGGGCGGACTGCTCGTATTGTCAATTACATGTTTAAATACTACTTACAAAATAGAAAATAATATTTAAAAATATAAACAATAGGAGTCGACCAGTAGCGGGGAGCAAAGACGGAAACCTCCTCGATACGTGCCATTTCTAGGCGAACTGCCTTCTGTATCAGGCCCTTGATCCATCCACCTAACGCCAGCCTCCTGAGATGGATGTCGAGGCTTTTAGGCATTAACTCTTTGGCCGACACGACTCGATAGTCGTGTTTCGGCTATCTTTGTGCCGATGCACAAAGATAGCCGAATCCACATTCCACATGTCGACTACTTCGTGAGCTAAATCTAGATATTTTGTTTCTTTATCTTTCTCAACCTTCACGAGATTCTTGTCATGGAATTTTGACATCGATTATCATCGTGCGTCGTACTTGTCTGTCTATTACTACTGTGGGAGAACGTCAATCAAGTCCCCGATATGACTATAATTTGGGGGCAATGATTTGAGCATATAATTGAGTTTTTCTTGCTCTGATATAAACGCCCCGGCCTGTTTTAATTCGTTAACACACTTTTCAAAATCGTCGAAGAACAATGACACTTCAGAGTATTTTTCCAATTTGACATTTTCGAGGTTATGTCGACATATAATTTGCAAGGCCGTCGACTTTTTTAAATACATTTCATCAAACTTTTGCATGATTTCGTAGGCCGTTTCTAATTCACTTATGTATTCCAATTGTCGGTTCGTTATTGCGCTGTAAATATAGTTTGTAGCTTGAACATCGCGGTCGTCCCATGTACCATTGTCGGCAGATGTTTTAGCTCGCATTACCACTTCTTTACATTTTTTGAATTGTAGAAACTTGAGAATTCGTATTTTCCAATTGCTGTAATCTGAACCATCGAAAATCGGAATATTGATGTCGCTATTTTTCGCCGCCATTTTGCACATGGACAGTTTTGTTATTTTCGCTTGTTTTCGTACAATTATTGTTTTCACTTTTCTCCTTTTCAACCACGCTCTGCTACCATCTTAATTTGAAGAATAAATCTTAATTTAATGTTCATACTTTCTTTTATTAGTAAATAAACCTTAATTTATTCACAGACACTATCATTATTAGAATACAACTACTACAAGATAAGAAAAAAAAAATTAGTGTTGCCAATATAAATGTAAATCAAAAAAAAAACAATATCCAGACTCCGTGCTACTACTGAGAATTTTTGAAAAACAATGTAATACTTTGCCTGACCCGGGAATCGAACCCGAGAGCAAGTGCGACTGCTGGCCAAGTTCTTACTTTTTAAGGGGGGAAATCATCGAATGGATTCTCCCGCCTGGGTGAGGCGGGAGGGAGTGTCAGACTCTTACTGACTAAAAATCACCCCGTTCCTTCTCCTGCATGTCGAGCCGGAGCCCCGGCAACCCGTTAGGTTCTCGGCGACAAGGG